ACGCGGCCCCCGCCTGCCCGTCGGCACCGGCCCCCGCCCCGCTGCCCGGAGCGGAGGCGGGTTTCTGCTAAAGGTGTGATGGTGTGCTGGGGCGGCCGTAGCAATAGTGTATTGGGAAAAAAAGAACAAGGCAAAACTTATCCCTACTTATTTCCTTATTAAACTTTGTCCTTATCTATTGCAGCACGCGCCACAAGTGTGGCAATGCAGACAACGACAACAAGGAACAATGAACAGGGCCCGGCGCAATTCCATCACCTTAACTGGTCTGGCACTATCAGGACAGCCATGGCTACGCGCTGCAGGAACTTCTCTGATGAAAATGAGGACCGGGTGCTCTGGTCTTCAGCGTTACACTATCCCTTTGTTCAGTATGGCAGTAGGGACAACAAATATTTTTGACTGTACTCACAGAATCACAGAAGGGTAGGTGTTGGAAGGGTCATCTAGTCCAACCCTCCTGCCGAAGCAGGGTCGCCTACAGCAGGCTGCACAGGACCTTGTCCAGGCGGGTCTTGAATATCTCCAGAGAAGGAGACTCCACAATCTCTCTGGGCAACCTGTTCATTCCAAGACTACCTGCACTTTTGGATTCCTGAATTTAATAGAGAGAGGCAGGCTGGGTGCTGGATCTCTGGATTAGGGGAGGAGTGTGCCACGTGCCTTAACGCTGCAACATTAATGCTCAGTGCTAAAGTGAGCGTGCCAACACCTGCCTCAGAGGTGGGAGACAGGCACTCAAGGCCCAATTACACCTGCAATGATGAGCAAAACCATGACTTGTCTATGGAGGACTTCTTAAACCGTTAAGCACAGCATTCAGTTTCACACCTGCTTCAGTCCAGTTCCCACGGTTACAGTGTCCTGGATATCTACACTTATTTTTTGCCAGTGACTAAGACCACTGGAAAGCTAAACTTGCACAATGGCCATGAATTATTTTTCCTCCAAACTCAGTTTCTGCTAATATGGTACTTGGCAAATGTCTTGAAGCTGCATACTGTTCCTTAGCAGCAGTTTTAATTTGTTTTAGAGATGACAGTCTTGACTTAGAACAAAAACAATTTTATCTTAATCTGCAATAGCTGCAATATCAAGAGCTTTTTACAAAGTCTTGTTTAGCCAGGAAGAGATTTCAAGCAAGAAACACAGGTAAATCATTGTCGTAACTTACTCCTAGGCAGCTCCAGACTTCACCCACCACAGATTAACAGCGACCTACGACTTAATACCTTGCTGCACTGGCACAGAGCATTTCATGTGTCTCCACAGTCAGACACTTCCCTCCAGCACCATTTCTCATCTTAGACTGATGGGCATCTCTTGGGAGATGGCACAGCAGCATTTGTAGGCTGCCTCTTCCATGTTCAAGTGACTTGTACATTAGCCAAGTTCTCACATTCATTTAAAACATTAAAAAAGGCAATTAAAATGAGAATTAAAAAAAAAAGGGGGAGGGGGGGAGGGGGTGGGCACAGGGACCAGAAAGATTAGGACTGAACTTAAGACTTTCACCTTCACACCACAACATAGTAGGACATTTCTAACAAACCACCAGAAGTATGAAGTTATTCATTGCTATGGTGAAATGAGAAACAACATTTTCAAGGAGAAAACCTTAGCAAGGGAGCTCACACATCTGATAATAGACTAGGTTTGTTGGGATGCATGTTTGTCTTGCTCATATGGCCTAAAAAGAAATAGAAGAAAAGCCTACAGAAATATTCCTGTCCAAAGCTTGCTGAAAGCCTCCTCTCAATTAACAGTCATGGCTTTTCAGATCAATCTTTAAGCACAGAGAGAAAAAAGGAAACAACAGCATTTTATTGCTTTGTCTCTCCCAAAACTGCATTTGCAAATAAGCTTTCTAGCCTAAACTGTGCTTTCATTTACACCTCTGTCTCTTCAGCATGCATGTCTGTAAGAACACCCTGACTCTCTTAAGTGTTCCTCTGGTCTCAGTATAGATCTACACTCGGCAATTTATGGTATACTACAAATCAACAACAGCAGGCCATCAAGGTGGAAGCCTGAGACTTCTACCACTGATGTTTATGTATTTAAAAAGCAAAATAAAGAAGTCTGCCAGTACTTACCAGTTGTGCATGGTTAGTTGGAAGGTGATGGATGTAGCGCTTGTGTTACTTTTATCTCCATCTTTCACCTAATCCACATTCCCCCTTGTTTGTCACACATCTCTTGCTTCTCACACCTGAATTAAGATTGTTATTTCTCTGAGGGGAAGAAACTCACACAAATCCCCCTTCCCGCCCCCCCAAAAAAAAGTCTCTGGTTGTAAAGAATAAATTTGGGATGTTAGTCAATGGGCAGTTATCTTGTCATTTGACATAAATGCAGGATTAAGTTTTCTTCATCTAATCAAAACCATC